TTGGGATATCCTGGAATCGCGCGTGGAAAAGGCTTCCGTCTTTCCCCAGAATCACCTGCGGGAGGGACACGTTCACCCTCAGAAACGCTCCGCGAGAGAAGCCAGTGTGGCTGGCACCGCACAGATGTTGCACGTCAGCTCACACAGAGGCACACATCACACTGGGTACCGAAGGCCGCCGACGTGCCACCCTGGGCACATTGGATTCTGAGATGAGAGCCACCCGAGAAAACTTTCAGGGGCCCATGGGACCGTTGGTGACAGTGGGCACGGATCGAACACTAACCAGGGGATCAAACATACCCGGTAGAATGCACGGGAAAAGGACTTGATCCGGTGAAAATTACTTCAAGGAAATAGAGGAGAATGGCCACTGGTCTGCACCAGCAGAAGGCGGATAAGGCGTGACAAGTCCTCCATGGCGTGTGCCCTGAAAACACTTTCTCCAGTGAAATTCGTCAGGGTGGCGAGAACCCCGACTTCAGCGTGTGTGTTCTTGAACACAGGGTCGGAGTGCCCGCTGGGCCAACGTGCACATGCCAGGAAGCCCTGCTCTGGGCGGGAGGTGGAGCCTTCCCTCCAGGGCCGCCGGCTCCTCGCCAGCGTGGGAGGGAAGCTGTAGCTTCTGCTGTGTGTCCCCGTGCCCTCTTTTTAAAAGAAAAATAATGTTTTTATTGATTTGAGAGAGGAAGGGAGGGGGAGAAAAGGATAGAGTTCAATGAGGAGAATCATTGATCAGCGGCTGCCTCTTGCACGCCCCCTACTGGGGATGGAGCCTGCAAACCGGGCATGTGCCCTGACCGGGAATGGAACTGTGACCTGGTTAATGGCCAGTGCTCAACCACTGAGCCACACGGGCGGGGCAGCGCCCTCTTGGATAGAAGCCTATGGCTGAAGCAGAGGGCATTCTGGGAGAGCTGTCCAAGGTCCAAGGGAGTGATCCCCCTGGAAGGAGCTCTGGGGTTCCCCCCTTTCCCTGTAGGCCTGTAGCTCTAGGCTTCTCAGACGTTTGCCCAGCAACTGAGGTTGGGGTTAGGGCTCTGGGGCACGGGGTCTCCTGGGCCAGGCTGTGCAGAGGGCTGGCCTGAGCAGACCTACCTCATCATGGGGGGTCCAGGGAGAATGTTGGGGACGAGGACTGAGACATCAAAAATGCCCTTTACATTTACAGAATCGCTGATGTCCATGGGAAGGCAGGCGGGTGGGGAGGCTGCCCCCCACTGCCGCCCCCAGCGCTGCCTGCTCCTGGCGTCCTGCCCTACCTGTGGCTGCGGGCGTCCTGCCCTCTTTCCTCCCGGCTTCTCCTTTACTCACACAACCTGCTACGTTCCACAAACGTGTTGGTAGGTGAGAAACAGAAAATAAACAAGTGGAGAAACGCATTGTCCTGTCTGTGTATTTACCTCTGAAATTTTTTTTTTAATCCTCACCTGAGGATGTTTTTCCATTGATTTTTAGGGAGAGAGAAAGAGACAGAAACATCGGTGTGAGAGAAACATATTGATCGGTTGCCTCCTGCATGCACCCCGACCAGGGATGAGAGCCTGCACCCAAGGTACGTGCCCTTGACCGGAATCAAACCCTGGACCCTTTGGTCCACAGGCCGACGCTCTATCCACTGAGCCACACTGGCTAGGGCTTGCCTCTGAGTTTTGTAGAACATTTCCGGGTTGCCCTAGACATCAGGAGCTCCTCACCCAGACTCTTCCTTCCAGCTGGAGCCCTGGGCTGGGGGTGGGCTTACTCAGTGAAACCCTCGTGGCAGAGCTGAGGACCGTGGCAGAGCTGGGGACTGAGGGGAGAGCTGGGGACCGAGGGGAGAGCCGGGGACCAAGGGGAGAGCTGGGGACCGAGGGGAAGCGCTTGAAGAGGCCATTTTGGCATCTCCTGAGGACAAGCCTCAACTCAGTCCCTGTCCCTGTTACGTGTCTGTGAACCGTCTGGGGAGGCATATGGAAATGTGCTCATGCGACAGCTCACCGGCAGCATCAGGTGCCTCGTTTCAGCACTGCCTGCCGGGTGCCTGCCGGGTGCCTGCCGGGTGCCT